AAACAACTGAGTAATCCCACTACAGGTGTGTGGCATGTTAAGAGTTGAAGGGCCAAGAAGTAACACTGCAGGAGGAGAATGAAACACAACTCAGATGCCATTTGAATGCATTGAGAACTAGGTTTAAACAAAGTCTGTTGTGTAAAAAAAAAAAAAAAAAAAAAAAAAAAATTGAAGCTGCTTGCCCTTCTCTAGCTGATAAAGCTAAACATTCTGCTGCTGTTGAATCCATCGCTTGGGTACTTTTGTTCAGGTTGATTCTCAGCTGTGCTTCAGAAATACAGCGATACAATATCTCTTCTGTTTCTCTAAGCCTCCTAGTCTTGAGGTGCTTTTTGCTGCTGCTTCAGAATTGCCAAGTGGTGGGTGATTTATCTGAGTTGCCATGTAGGTTTTTGCAAGGGTGTATTATGCTCACAGTCATATAAATGAATGATCCATATAAAAACTTGAAATTGTCCTCCAAAAAAAGGAACATACTTTGATTAAGTATGTGTACCTTGTACTGAAATTGCTAGGCTTTGGGTTTTTGGGCAGTGAAGACTTGAGTTCCTTAGAAAATGGGTTGGTTTTTTTTTTTTTTTTTCCTAGCTGATATAGAAGATTTGTAGTAGTTTAAACAACAGGGCATATGTAAAACTAAATGCCATTAAAAATATACAGGTCTTCATAGGGCTCAGATGACCTCTGACAATCAGATTGGACAGTGCTGTTAATATGTTTCTACATGAATGCCTTTTTACTGCATGCTTTTGAGTAAAACACTTCAGGAATCTGAATAGTTTGAAACTTGAATTTGGGTTACAGCCAGGCTTTTAATCTTGTTTATTTTATTTGACTAGTTTGCAAGTGTCTCTTGGTTTTCCCTAACAATGTTAGGTATTTTGTATGTCCATATTTTTCTTCACTCATTCCATCCACTTTTTTCCTTCCTACCAGGGAGGGTCAGCTTACAAAACTGCCTGAAACAAAAAAGACACTTTTGTTTACATTTAATGGTAAGAGAAATGGTGTACGTGTGTGTATGTGTATCTGGGGGAGTGTTGCGCTTTATTTGTGCGGGTCACGTGCTGATGTTCTGTCATCTGTGGAAGACAATATATGACTAATTAATCCTGCATGTAACAGGATCACTGATTGATTAACTGGTAAATAGAAGGCAGTAGTAACTAGGGACTGAGTGGTATATTGTCGTGATAATAGGATACTCAATCTTGCCATTATCAATCTTAGTTCACACTCATATCTCTACTGGTGGTTGTATTAGGTCACCATTGGAAGAGGGTTTGTTTTTAAGCCCCACATGTTGCAGTTTGAGGTTGCACGGTTACTTGGTCTGTTAACCTCACACTGCCAACTCCACCACTAAACCCTGTCCTTAAAAGCCATGTAGATGTGGCACTTAAATACCTCCAGGGATGGTGACTCTACCACTTCCCTGGGCAGCCTGTTCCTGTGCTTGACAACCCTTTCAGTAAAGAAATTTTTCCTCATATCCAATCTAAACCTCCCCTGGTGCAACTTGAGGCCATTTCCTCTTGTCCTATCACTTGTTACATGGGAAAAGAGACGGACCCCCCACCTCCCTACACCTTCCTTTCAGGTAGTTGTAGAGAGCGATAAGGGGTCCCCTTCACCTCCTTTTCTCCAGGCTAAACAGCTCCACTTCCCTCAGCTGCTCCTCATAAGACTTGTGCTCCAGACCCTTCACCAGCTTTGTTGCTCTTCTCTGGACATGCTCCAGCACCTCAGTATCTTTCTTGCAGTGAGGGGCCCAAAACTGAACACAGTATTCGAGGTACAGCCTCACCAGTGCTGAGTACAGGGGGATGATCAGTTCCCTAGTCCTGCTGGCCACACTATTTCTGATACAAGCCAGGATGCTGTTGGCCTTCTTGGCCACCTGAGCACCCTGCTGGCACATATTCAGCCGGGTGCTGACCAACACCCCCCAAGCAGCTTTACAGGCTTGGAGAAGAGTGGCCAGAGTGTTGCATGGGGTGGTTGTGACCCAAGTGCAGGACTGGGCACTTAGCCTTGTGTCCTTCCTAAAGAAGAGGAGAAGAACATCTTTCATGAATGGTGTGAGCAATAAGAAAAGAACACTATAGCAAGTAGAACAATCCTGCCAACCTCTCTGAATTAACAAGAAACTCTTATTTCAGTGCCTGGTTCAGGCAACACTTCCCCAAAGGACATGGAGTCTTTGCTGCCTCTGATGAGCATGGTTATCTACTCCATTGACAAAGCAAAGAAGTTCCGTCTGAACAGAGAAGTAAGTAGTGCATATTTTTCCATCTCCTAAATATTGTATGAAATGGCAACCATTACCATTGGATCCTTAATCTTAAGATTGGGAGCCTTATGTTTCTAATATGACTACCAGAGATACTGCATCCTGCTCATGGGGAAATCCATATTAACTGCATTTGCTTTTCTCTGTGAAAAGGGTAAACAAAAAGCTGACAAGAACAGGGCTCGTGTGGAAGAGAACTTCCTTAAACTGACTCATGTGCAAAGACAGGAGGCTGCCCAGTCCCGTCGAGAAGAGAAAAAACGGGCAGAGAAGGAGCGAATCATGAACGAAGAGGATCCTGAAAAACAGCGTCGGTTGGAGGTGAGATGGATTTTCAGATTGTTACAAGCTACTGGCACATCTTCCTTAGAATATCTACAGGGCTGCCTGAAGGTAAACCAGCAGTGGCCAACTTTGACTTCTTACTTGCTGGAAGGCATACAGCTTTCAGGTTATATGCTGTTGGTTTCTGAAACATGCAGTCTCCCAGTGGGGACCCAGCTCCTGTGCTTAGAGAGGTGAACCCAAGTGCTGGATGTCTTGTTTGGCTCTTCTGAAATGATCAGTTTGCTCTTTGAAGAGATCACTGATATTCATTCAGATCTCTATGTTCTTGCCTACAGGAAGCTGCTTTGCGGCGTGAGCAGAAGAAACTTGAGAAGAAACAGATGAAGATGAAGCAAATCAAAGTGAAAGCTATGTGACTCCATTGTGAGAAGCGTCCCAGTGCCACCTGCAGAATGTTAATTCACAGGGTACAAAGACCTATTTAACTCCATAATCCTATGCTTCTTTGAACACTAGTAGCCATTAAGAGAAATGCTCCTTGCATTGGTGTTACTTACTTAAGTATTACTGCAACATGCAGGTGTATGTAGAGAACTTTATCTTGGCAGTTTTATTCCAGGTGGTATAAATTTTTGCTACTTGTCTGTTTAAAAAAAAATGCAATATTCTTGAATGCTCTTTGTCATTTGTTCTTTAAAAACAGAAGATTGTAAACCTGTCCACATGTGCTGGTAACATATTCATGCTTCGATTTTAAACTTTGTTTTTAGTTATTGGGAGGGAAGGGGAAAAAACTTAAGGGGAGGAAAACTGCACAATAAACATTTACTGTGCATTTATTTGCATCAAGCTTTGTAAAGGCACAAAACTTAGAGCCTTCCATACACAGTATGGATTCTTCAGGGATTTAAGCCCAGTAGATTAGAAGTGGTTTTTATTTTCTTTTTTTACAAAGAAGGGACTGAAACAGTTTTAGGACACCTGTTGGCATATGTGTAAAACATAGATGGGTTAGATATGAGGGAATGGACTACATGAAGAGTTTCCTACTCGTGGTGTTGAATGCTGCAAGCTTAATACAATGTGAAGTCTGTAATGTCAGCGTGGTGTTTCTTCAGGAGCGCGCGCATGGTGAGTTAGCAGCTTCAACTAGCTTTCCTTGAGTATTTTTAACTGTACAAGTTTGCCTCAAAAACTTTTCTCCTGATCTTAGCAGCTGCTGCCTAGTTCACTTTAGCCAGAAGCTAGATTCAGTGAAGTATCTGCAATTGCCAATTGCCCCGAGCAGGTAAAAATGTTTCAGAGGACATGTATCCTCTTCATCTGGTAAACGATCACTTCAGGTTCTTGAATGGGGAGAATGAAGTGCATGCCACTGCGCAAGCACTTCGCTGAGAGAGCTCTGCATTTTATAAATGCTTCCTGTCTAGAAGGAATTTTATTGTTGCTTGTAATAGACTTTTAACAGTTTTGTGGGGAAGAATGTCTTGCATTTTCTTGTTCAATACTTTGTGCAAACTTGGTTCTGAGGCAATAAGAATGAGCTGTTGTGGAAACAGCAATCGCTTTGAACTTGTTTCAGCATGGGATACTTCACACTGATTTAAATGCAAATGTCTGTAACCTGATACATGCAAATACATTAATTTTATAATGGTAAAATTATTTAAAAACAAAACTAATCTAGATTATGTGAAATTTTAGCTTTATTTAGCTTTAAAGATTAATATGGTACTGTTTCACAAAGTTCTTTGAAAGGAAACACTAGTTTGTGCTCTTTTGAGTAAGTGGACAGCTTTCCTGAAGTCCCTTGTGGGCCATGGCAGCTAATTTTGTAATATGAACATTCAAATGAACAATCTAATGAAGAGTAAAATATAATTGAAACACTCCACCTGCCTACTTTACTTGGCTGGACTCTGTGTGCCTTTTCATCTAGCAGAATTTCAAAGCCTCATTTGTCCTGGGTGGGTTTCAGCGTCGGTTTTAAACACGCGGGAGCTGGCCTTGGGTCTGCTGCGGTGCTGAGGGAAGTGGCTGATTCCACGCGGGAGCTGCTCCCTGTGAGAGCGGCCGGTTGCTGAGGGTGGAGAGAGAGCCCGGAGCCGGCGGGAGGCGCCTCCCCCCGTGTGCGTGCTGGGGTGGGTGGAGGTGGAGAACCCGACCCTGCGGTTTGAGGCCGGGTAGTGGCTGGGCGGGGGGCGAAGCCTCGGCCGCTTTACTGAGGGAAGCCAAGATGGCGCCGGCCGCTTCCCGCCGCCGCTGCGCGCGGGGGAACTTGCCCTCTCTCCCCCGGGCGACGTCACGCACGCGCCGCGACCCTGCGCGAGCCCCGCGGCGCGCTGGCGTCACACGCGCAGCGTCTCCTGCCGGTAAGCGGCGGCCGCGGCCTGGGGGGCCGGTGAGGGGGGGCGGGCGGGTATCGGCGTCCTCTGGGGTCGCCGCGGGCTCCGGGCGAGACTCGCCAGCCCCGGCCCCGCTCCCGGTAGCGCCCGTCTGGCCTGGGGCTGCTGGGCCGCGGCTGGGCCAGGGCGGGTGAGCGGTGCCCGGCGCCGCGCTCGGTCCTGGGGTGAGGCGTGAGGGGGTGACCAGCCCGTGTGCTCGCAGGTTGCCCGTCCTTTCTCGAGCTGCGTGTGGTAACCCAAACGCGGAGTCCATGTCTTTTCTTGTAAGTAAACCCGAACGGATTAGGGTGAGTGTTGAACACCTTCCAGCTTCCTCAGACGGCGGCGTGGCGGCGGCGGGGCCGGCCTCCTGGAAAGCGCCTTAAAATCGCATCAAAACCTCCCAGTTGTAGGGCGGGGGAATCGATCTGCAAGCTAAAAAAAAAAAAAAACCAAACAAAAAAAAAAAAAAAAAAAAAAAAAACAAACAAAAAAACCCCCACGCTTAACTATTTATTATTCGCACCTCTGTATCTCCTTTGTGGGCGGTGCAAGGGGTGTGTAATGGGCGTTGCAATTAAAAAGCGCGATAATGCTAATCTTTTTTAGCACCGCCCACAGTCTCTATTTTGTGTTTTTTCTTTCCAAACTTAGGTTGGAAAGCTAAACACAGCAGCTTTGTTTAATTCTGCGTTTTTAAGTGAGAAAGTCTCACGCGAGAATACCACTTGTTATGCCTTGAAGTGACATTGGTGTATACGAGTTTTGAGTCACTGTGACATAAAGATGCGTTGGTGCTTTCTAGGACTGGCTTCTCTTGCACTAAACAACATAAGCTATGTTTTCAGTTATTTTACCAAGTAGACAGATTCAAACGTGGGAGTGTTTGTGATTGTTTGTTTAATGCTAACTTCATGATCAACACTCTGCAAGCCTAAAATTGCCTATTCTGTTGTGTTACGTGTGCATGCATATATATATATATATATATGTTTTTCTTTGTATCACAGAGTTGAATAGAGTGGTAGAAACATTTCTCTGCACAACCTAATGTTTGCTGTGAATTTTAAGCATGAATTCTGAAAGAGAGCAACAGCTTTAAAATATTTCTGTTCTAATGTTGCATTCAGTCAGTAGATACATAGCCAAAATATTTAGGTTCTCTAAGACATCACCTCATTGTAAATAAATGAAGCTTTTTTTTTTGTTTACACCTCTTACACCAAACAGCTTTTTTTTGCCTATATAAGGGGAGTTGTAGCATGCTCATTATTTTTGCTGTTATGTGCATGTATAAAGTTACTTGTCTGAATTATATAAAATTATGTTAACTGTATTGTAAGTTCATGCTAGTCAGGAAAAGCAGTAGCATCTGTGGCATTGCTGGGTGTGTGCCATCATAATGGCCCAAGAGGAGAATATCCTTGCCCAAACTAAGGATATAACTCTGATGTTACAACTAATCAGTTTCAGACCACAGCAGAATCCTTGAAGTGTAATGATTCTCATGCTTTTTGTGGGGAATGGGGAAAAGAAACTTGTCTCTAGATGGAATGACTAGTTATCTGGGGAATTTATTTTTTTTTCTTTCAGCGGTGGGTGTCTGAAAAGTTCATTGTTGAGGGCTTAAGAGAGTTCGAACTGTTTGGAGGTAAGTTTTCCTCTCATTAGATGACACTTAGAAATATTTTATTTTAGCTGCATGGTCTGTTAATTTTGTTGTAAGTACGTATCTTAACAGTAAAAGAGATGAATAAATCTGGTTGTAGCACCAGATTATTCACGCTGGCTAACTATGTAAAGTTAATATGGAAGCGACCAAGGTCTAGCAGGGTATTTGGCAATCAGTTTTATGGTGATGGTGGTACTGTTTTCAGACCCTGCATTCTCTATTTCTTAGCATAACCACTTTTTTCCTATGCAAAAGATAGATTTGGGGTTTGGGAAGGTTGACTGTATTTTGAAACTCAGATGATATCTCCCCAGGGTGCCTGAATGTGAGCTGATTGGTTTCTGCTCTGCTTTGAGCATATTGAACAAAATTGCTGAGTAGGATGCAAAATTCCTGATCAGTCACATGGAAGGCAGTGAGAGCATAGGAGAGATGTCTAGATCTTGAGCTTCCAGGTGGAGTGGAAGAATTTTCACTACTTTAAATAAACTTTAGATAGTTTCTTCTGTATTTAAGCAAAGTAGATATGTCAGTTTTGAATGTGTTTAGACCTGTAATGAAAATATTGTCACCTTACATTCATGTGAAATGTGTGAACAGTAGCACTATTTGAATCTCTTTAATTCCCATACTTGTACTACAATTTGATTATTTTTAGTGCTGCAACTTTATGGGTAAATTAAATGTCCTTGTCTTAAAAAAAAAAAAAAATCTATATTTGGTATCAAAAAGTGTCATACAGGTTTATTTACTCAGTTTTCCAACTATATTTTTAATGGGTATCTGTTGAACACAACTTGGTGAACAATTAATTTCTTTACTCCAGAGCAGCCTCCGGGTGACTCTCGGAGAAAAGTAAGTGACTTTTGCAGGCTGTGGTGCTGTGGTTCATTGCATGGAGATTATTCCTTGTGGAAGTTTGATTTTTCTTTTATCTTAGTTATATATCTCATCTCTATATTTAGCTCTACAAGTGTGGAAACAGGTTTCACCCTGGAGTGGAGATTTTGGTGTGTGGTTTTCAAACTACGTGTGACAAGTCAAAACTTTAAACACTTATCTCTTTGTATTTGTGTTGATGTCCCCCCAGGCCTCAAAGGGTCTCTTTTTTTGAGATGATTTAGATCTGATTCTTCAGTCATGCTAATCTCATATAACTCTTTTAGAATAGAAGGAAGAGGTTAGCTAATCGGACTTTTGAAAACTAGGCCCAGAAAATTTTATGTTGGCCATTTAAAACCAATGTTCCTTTCTGAATGTGCTGATTCTGATTTCCTTTCTCTTCCCTGTAGAGCTGCCACAACAGAGGTTCCAGCATCAAAACCAGACACGATGTAATTTTCAGTTTGAGGTGACTTTACCTCCTGTTGTCTGGTTGTCCTCGGAGCCAATTCCATGCATGCTTAGAGAGCATCACTAGCAAACATGGAATGTCTGTTCAAAAACATACAGCCAACTGTGGCAGTTGAAAACTTTACCTTGATGCTTTTTGTTCTGCAGGCCCTGATTGCACACTATCTGGTTCATAATGACCAGTGCTCATAGAATAACACAGCTTATGATAGAATATATTTGTCTGAATTATTTCCCACCTACCCACACCATATTGAAACATTTTTGTGTGCAGGTGTTGCTCTAGTTTAGGCTAATTACAAACATGAATTAAGTGTGATTTGATTATAGCTGTGTCAGTTCAAGCTGCTTATAATTGATTTTTGTGCTAGTGTCTGTAATTTACTGGCACAAACAAAGCTGAAAATATGAGATGTGTACGGAATGTTTTGTATAAAGTCAAGTAAATTCACACCTTTTTTTAAATTGCTGAACATTATCCATATGCTGGACTGGAAGCAAATTGAGATTAGCATCTGTTTTGTTTTTGTTAAAGGATTCACTTGGGGTTTGGTCACTTTTGCAGTAGTATTGCTGGCTTTCATTTTGATTTTTACATCTAAATAAAAGCTTACTTTTTCCAGCAGGGCTGTAGAAAAAGGTAGATAATTTGGAGAGAGGGACGGGAAGAAAATTTTTGTTGCTTATGCTGAAAATGAGTGAGGGAATGAGGAGGTGGAGGGGAAGGCAGCAGAACAAAACCAATATTCCCTCTTCCTAACTCAGATGAATGTCATTTGGCAAATGCAGATCCTTGATAGCATCACGTAACTGATTTTCTTGTGGCATTTGTAACAGTAGTCACCTTTCAAAGATTAATTTCCTTAAATTTATCTCAAATTAAAATCAGCTCAACAATCGGAAAGCTAGCTCTTAATGAATATCATGCCATAAAGCTAGTCGTATGTGACTTCATTTTGCAGCTGCTTTTGCTTTTGACCATACACCAAAAGTTGTCCTGTGTGAAACCACTGAGGAGCTTTTTTGAAGTATTTCATAAATGACATTTCAGTTTGACTTTCTCTTTTTTTTTTTTTTTTTCTCGTTTAAAAACCCTCTTGTATGATGTTGATAAATTTCTGTTAGAGCTACTTTTGGATTAATTCTGTTATTGGTCACTGCTAACATGAAGAGAGGTGAGTGAAGACCTCTGATATACTGGAAGACTTTTTAAAAAGGGTATTTACAGTATTTTCCCATTACTGTTGAAACAGCCTACACCATTAATAAGATTAAATTTATTTAATTTTTTGCATCTGTTTTGTTGGCTTATGCTGTATCTGGAGTGGACTTTAATATAGCAAACAGCTTACATATTGCTCAGTGTTTCACCAGCTGTCATTGCTCCATAACGCTGCTTATCAGAGCCTCCTGCTTTCATTTCCTTGGTGGTGCCTTTCTGCTTCAGAGGTTTCCATCTGCCTGTGTCTCTCCTGGCAATCTTGCTGTTGACAGGACTCTGTGAAATTGCTGGAAGAAGTAAGGAATGATACAATTGAGATCAGGATTGACAGGAGTCTTTTAACTTTTAAGTTTGAAATTGTGAATGGAAAGTTGCTGCCTATTCTCAGCCAGGCAACAGCACTGTGTAGTGTTAGGACCAGAAAAAAAGGATTTGGGACTGCTGGGATCTCAGGGGTTAGCTATCCTGAAACAGGACTGAGTTGCTGTGTTAGAGTTTGAGCTGAAATTATACCATAGCACTCTTCGCAAGTCTAAAGTTTTGCCTTTTCCCTTAACTGAAAAATATACTTACTTTAAAGGTAGGCAGAGAGAGGTAAAATGTGTGCTGTTCAAAGTCAGTTGAAAAGGTGGAACTTGGGAAGCCCGACTATTAGCTTACTCCCAAAGTGTACTTAGGGACACAAAAGTCATTTATGACAAATTGAGGGCTGTGCTCATTGCACTGCATTTACCCTGGACTGAGCGTAGAACAGCAAGTTCCTTGTTTTTCAGCTGTCACTGTGTTATTTCCATCTTTCAGTGATGGTAAAAAGAGTACTTGCTGTCACCCTAGAAAATGCACAAGCCTTTTCTGCTTCATGTAGCGTGAGAAAAGGTCTGATAAAGGGCATTTGCCTGTTGATAAAGAATGAGGTGGAAAAAATGAGCTGGAGTTCCAAATGCCAGGAGGAGTTAATGTGCTGGAAATTTGAGATAACTAGTCTGATTTTAAATGCCAGATAAATTTGGATCCCATTAGGATGCTCTTCTGGTGACTTTGGAAATTTGAGGGAATTAGAAGGTATAAAGGAACTTGCAAGAACATTGAACTTTGTCTTCTGCAAAATACTGCTTGGAAGGACTTATGTGTATGTAAATAAAGCAGATAGCTTTTTGTCAGATGTAGTGAAGAAAAGCTGACAGGCTTGGGAGTGCTGCTTCCCTGTGTGAGGTTTTTTTCTTTTTTTTTTTTTTTTCCCGTAAGCACTAATGCTTTGCAGTTAAGTTTTTGCTTTCATTTGGAGCTTCTCTGCTTCTCTTTTCATGTATGTCTGATCTTCATATCTTGGGCTCAGTTGGTTCATCACTTCTACCATTCAGCTAAGCAGGTTCAGCTGCGCTGGTCTGATCCCAGATGAGCAGCTGAAAGCCAGGAGGCCCAGCAGCAGACAGGAATGCTGGCTGAAAAAAAAAAGTGCCATAAATGAGCTTTCCTTTGATGTCCCTTTGCTCAGGCAACAGGATGGTGGCACAGAAGCTTGTCATTAATGGGAGAAAGGCAGAAAGTTACTATAAAGCAGTGCTTAAGCTGTCCTGGAGAATAGTAATTGGCTTTATCCAAATATTTCTAAAGAAATTCTAACTTACAGTAATTAAGAACCTACCTGTTACGGTTACATGTTTTGAAACACAGATGTCTGGATCTTCTGAAATGAGGCATCTCCTGGATTTCAATTGATAAATAACTATTTTGAATTATTTTAACAGCAAATTAATTCTCTCTTCTATATTCACTACTGTCTTACTATTTTGAGGTGTATGATAATGTAAAGAGCAGATGATTGTTCCAGAATGTGATCTTTATTTCTTTTGACCTAACTTCTTTTTTTTTTTTTCCCCAGACAAATGAGGCGAGCTCCGAGTCGATAGCTTCTTCCCCTAAAAGGGACACCATGAGCAACTTCCTGCCAGACAGCAGCTGTTACGAGTTGCTCACTATCATAGGTAACACTGTTAGTGGGCTGGAGGAGCAGAAATCTGCTTTGCAAAGAAAATAACTTCTGCAAATTTGTTTGCCTTTTTTTGATCAGTTGCATATTTTTGACATTAGATGCCTGTTCTCTTTGATTTTAAAATCACTGTAATAAAAAAATGAGATGCCAATCCTAAAGGCTTTCAACGGAAAGAGGCATGTGGTGGGTTAATGGTACTGAGTGGGAAGTACAAAGTCAGCAGAAGCAGCCTGAAATATATCCCTTCCTTGGTGGGGCTGTGGCCTAATCATTTTATTTCTACCTCAGTTCTGAACTTGAGAGACAGGATAATATTACTGGCTAGGAAGATTTCTCTCGATGGGATACATGCCAGGGAAGGTGATATCTGATGGAATGATTACTCTCTTTCACAAGGCCAAGAATAGTTTCAGTTAAATGAGTGTAAAAATTATTCAAGGGTCAGGCATCGGAGGAGTTCTCCAGAAGTGTGTAGCTCCATAAATATTGCTGAAACTTTAATGCATTTTATTTCAGGCAGAGGCTTTGAAGACTTGATGGTTGTGAACCTGGCCAGGTATAAACCCACAGGAGAGTATGTCACAGTCAGAAGAGTGAACTTGGAGGCCTGCACAAATGAAATGGTCACATTCTTGCAGGTAACACAAATCCACTGATATCATAATGCAAATTTAGGAGAGGACAGTGAGCAAGAGCAGTGCTTATCAATACTGTATTCATATTTCTGCATTTACTAAATTGTATCAAAATATCTTTTTATTTTAGGGGGAACTTCATGTTTCCAAGCTCTTTAACCACCCTAACATCGTGCCATACAAAGCAACTTTCATAGCTGACAATGAGCTGTGGGTAGTGACATCTTTCATGGCCTATGGTAGGTGGAGAGGGAATACCTTTGTTTGACCATCATATTCTGTGAAATTAAATTTATGAAGTGAAGTATCCTTGGTTTTTTTTTTTTTTTCTGACCAAATAAGAGGTGTTTTTTTTCTTTTTAGGTTCTGCAAAAGATTTAATCTGTACCCATTTTATGGATGGGATGAGTGAACTGGCTATTGCATATATCCTCCAAGGTGTATTGAAAGCACTTGACTACATCCACCATATGGGCTATGTACATAGGTATTTAAAAAAAAAAAAAAAGAAAAGGCGATCCATTTTCCTTCTGTTTGGAAGTTCTCAGAAATACTGCTCATCATTAGAGCAGAGTGGGTAGTTCAAGAGATGCGGGAAGCAAGTTTTGTCTTTGCTGCTAGAGCAAGTCAGTTTACTCATAGGAAATTACATCATTGATCTTAATAAGCTGCATGAAAGTGTCACTGTGGAACAAACTTACCCCAAGGACCCCCGTTAGCTCAAATCACAACTGCAGCTCATGTCGCCGGCCTGACTGCCCAGATACTGCTGATGGTCTGCAAACCGCGACTGGCAGTGGTGGGGGGGATTTGCCCTATTACTGCTGAAGGTCCTGGGCCCGTAACCTTCAGTTCTGCATTTCTCCTTGCCATAGAAACATTCTTTGGGAACCTGCAAAGTGGGTGAATAGAGTCCTGTGAATGTCAAAGTGGTTTTGCAGAGCATTCAGGATGGTCGTTAGGAGGCTGATCAAGTACTGCCCTGCATGTTGAGCTGTCCAGTAAAGTAGGCTTCTCTCCTTTCCGTAGGTGCTCACTAAGGATGAATTTCTGGGGAAGGCTGTAAGGAATATAACTTCTCTGAGGCCAGAAAACCTGACTATTTTTACTTTTTTTTTTTTTTTTTCCCCCCAGGAGTGTTAAAGCCAGCCATATCCTGATCTCTGTAGATGGGAAGGTGTACCTCTCTGGCCTGAGAAGTAATCTAAGTATGATCAACCATGGGCAGCGTCTCAAAGTTGTTCATGACTTTCCCAAATACAGCATCAAGGTCTTGCCTTGGCTCAGTCCTGAAGTCTTGCAGCAGGTGTGTTTACTAAAAAACTAGCAATTTTTTTTTTTTAATACATGGCAACTCTGTATAATTTTCTGAGTTCTCATGGCATGTTCAGGGGAGTGGGGGGGGAGGCACACAACAAAAGCCACAGGGTTACTTTTTCTTGGGATGAGCTCTACCCTTTTTTTTTTTCCTCTCATTTTTACCGTAAAACCAGTGACCCCTAGCAAGAGGAAACCTGTATTCCTGTCAAAAGGGACAATTGCTGAGAAGCCCGTGTTACAACACAGTCTTTTCTTTCCCTCCAGAGGCAGGTGTGTGAATGCAAGGAAAAGGAAGGGGAGAGGCTAGGAAACAGATTTGGGGCAGGTGCAGGGTGAGTGGGTAGAATTTGTCTGATCTATTTGACTAAATAGTTTTCTTGTAGGTACTTCTACAGATTCTCCCGTTAGCGAAGCATTACGTTGCATGCCAGTTACCCTAAGGTAGCTGCCATCCCTGCCAGCTAGCTGATTTCAATTAAATGTTGCCCTTAACTGTGTGTTTAACAAACAAAAAAACCGCCACCACAATAAACCAGCCTATATTTGAGCTGTGCTATTTCTGCCCTAATCGTTTGGGTTTGCTTTTCTGCACATTGAATTATGGGCATTGCCCATATTCTGTAACATGCAAGTCCACAGAGCTTATTTTTCTTTTCATCTAGAATCTCCAGGGTTATGATGCAAAATCTGACATTTACAGCATAGGGATAACAGCCTGCGAGCTGGCAAATGGACACGTACCATTTAAAGACATGCCTTCTACCCAGGTAAGGGTTAAAAGCTGTTCCTTTCTCATCCTTCATCCTGGCACATGGGATGTGAAGACAGACGAGTGCCGTGTCTACCTGAACGGGAAATCATAAGTTGCTTATGCCCTTCCTCTTCCAGATGCTCTTGGAAAAGCTGAATGGAACCGTTCCCTGTCTGCTAGACACCACCACGATTCCTGCTGATGAGCTGACTATGAAGACCTCCCGTTCAAGTGCTAACTATGGGATGGTTGAGAGCATGGCTGTTAGCAACGTGAGAGCAGCCAATGGAGAGCCAGCCCTGCACCCTTACCTTCGGACCTTCTCCACCTACTTCCACAACTTTGTAGAGCAGTGTCTCCAGCGGAACCCCGATTTCAGGTAAAGCCAGGTGAAAGCTGCTCTTCACAGACCTGTGCTATTCTAGGGCTGATTAAACCGTCAGAGCCAGCAGAGGTTGTGAAATTTTTGTTCCAAAAGCTTCGCAGGGTGAGGATGTGCTCTGTACATTAAGAGCAGTCCAAGTATGTGAAACAAGAGCACTGTTAACACTTGGAGCAATTTCTCTAAGAAAGCCTGAAGAATTACTTTGCAGCCTTCTTTGGGGGGTAGAATGGTGCTACGTGTCAGGAAAATAAACTGAACGACTTGAATTTCTGGTCCCTGTGAGACCTTGTTTACCCAGTTCCCATCACTGCGGATGTTTGCTGTTCAGCCAGCAGACAATAATGATGGGAAGTGGTCAAGAACTGTATTTTCCTCCGCAGTGGGCCTAAAGTCATCTTTAGCCCTGAAAAACTTCTCTAGCATACCACAGTGCTCAGAAACTTTCCCTTGACCAGATGGTGAGGTGTGCAGGTAGGTAACTTGCGCAGAAGCAGGTTGAACTGCTTGCATAAAACATCCCATGAACATAATAAAACGGTGTTCCTGGTTACAAAAGGGAACTGCTTCCCTGTTGCTGGGAAATGAGAGGGGCAGGATGGATCCTGGTCTTTTCTTTCTTCCACCACTGCTACCTGACTTTAAATACTGATGCATTTTCTTGTGTGCTTCCTTCTTTCTGACTCCCTTCTACAGGCCAAGCGCAGGCGCTCTGCTTAATCATCCCTTTTTCAAGCAGGTAAGGAACTCATTTAATCCGCAGATACAGAACAATGACTTTTCTGTAGTTGCTGTCTTGCTGAGTCACTGAACCTGAGGGTGGGAATGTCGAGTTGCTGAATTTTCTGTGATCTGAAAGGACTAAGTTAGTTTGGTGACTAATTGTAGTGCACCTTGGTGATCCTCACATTCTCCCGGGAGGTGGACGGGCTGTTCTCAGAGCCCCTCTGTAAATCTGGGGGTCCTGTCTGCCAGAAGTTTTTCACGCACAGACTATCGAGTATTGGGCCAAGTCAGCCCTGACCTGCTCCTTCCCGGGACCAGGTGAGGTGACCTGTGTGCTGCTTCCAGCCCTGGCCTGGGAAGGGGCAGAGGCTCTCCTGCCCCCAAAATGATTTGTCAGGCTTGCTCTGAGCTGGGGGTTAGGGGGTGCTTCACTGAGGGGAGCATCAGGACTCTCGCACCCCAGCGCTGCTGAAAAGGCGACACGCAAAAGCACTTGCTTGTTCCAAGATGCAGCATAAAAGCCCTGCACGGCTCGGGGCAGGCGGGAGGGCAGTACTGTGTTCTTATTTTCTGCCTCTAAGCACGCGTCGTCGTGCTTGACTGGGATGTGCCAGTGGGGGGGAGCAGTGCAGCAGCCGCGTTCTCTCCTTTCGTGCAGATCAAGCGCCGCGCTTCTGAAGCACTCCCTGAACTTCTGCGCCCCGTCACCCCAATCACCAATTTTGAAGGAACACGGCCCCAGGATCCCAGTGGCATTTTTGGGCTGGTGTCGAACCTGGAGCAGCTGGATGTGGATGACTGGGAATTCTAGAAAAACAGGGGACTATCCCTGGTTCTAGAGGAGCTTTTTGGACATTGTAATTTATTGGTCCTGTTCATAAAAGGTGATGAATGTTACACATGGAAGAGTTTACAGCTCCTTGGGAAGGAACTTCAGCTGCCTGTTTACTTAAGAAGTAGCCTGGAAATGAATGGACAGACCCGAGCTGGAAAAGGATCAACTGCAAGGAACTGTGGAGTAGTGCAGGTGGTGCAGTGCCCAGAGCCCCAGTTCTCGCAGCAGAGCGCTGGTAGATTACTCAAATGGGTTTGAGTGAGTCTGGTTAGTGTCTATTTATGTTTTTCTAAAAATCACTGGCTTCCTTGTATCACCGTTGAAGGCCGCATGTCCCTACCCCTCTTTGGTTCTGTCTCCGTTAAGGGTGCCTTAGTTAAGGGGAGGCAGGCAGCTCTTAGTTTTGGGCATTCTCTTAGAGCTAGGTTACAGTGTTGTCACAGGATAAATTCTGAGGGTGGGGAAAAAGGAGATTAGGTTCTTAAATTTAGTCACTGCTTTGTGATGGAAAATGGGAACCCAAAGACAACCTGATTCTGTTGCAGGCACACTCGGTGCATCGGGGCGTTCCTCTGCAGCACTGGCTGCTGCTCTCCCAGTTCTGGAGAGAGCTTTGGAGGCGGCTCCTTTCCCTTGCTGCCGGGCACTGAACTCCAGGTCAGACAGGGCCTTCCCCACTCTCCTCCCGTGGCGGCCTGGATCACCAAGCGAGCCTGTGCCTGCGCAATGCACCTGCTTTTTTATCCCCCTCTCCCCAGCACAGCTCCTTGAGCCTCCTGTTAGCTGGGCTGGTTTCACAGCGTGTAACGCTCACACCAGCTTGTTCGCAGTGGCACGGAGGAAAAGTAAGCTGACTTTCATGCTCAGGCCTCTTGCTCCTGACTTCTCTTTCATCATCGTGTACAGAATTGATCTTAAGCCTTCCATTACTTTTGCTGTTCTGCCTTCCCTGACTGAATGACAGGTAAAAGCTTTTCCTGTGGCTCCCCTTGACTCATGGCTCTGTGACTCTGCCCCCCTGCTCTGGCAGCTCTCCCCCACTCCATGGTATTTGGTTTTTGGAGGTGTATTTAAGGCTTTTGGTTTGACCCTTCCACAGCCCACAGGTGCTGGACATCTTTCTACTCTTTAATGAAGCACTGAGATTCCAGTCCTGGAGGTGTGGTTGGGAGTAGTGGTGCTGGCAACAGGTCTCCTTCCGTTTATAAACTACTTGAACCCAGATAAAGTTTGTTACTCTAGTTTTTTGCCAAAACAAATAAAGGATTTCTGAAGTTGTTTTTTTTTTAAGTCTGCTAGTGCTGGAAGATGATGGAGTGGATCACACCTGATCACAAGGGCCAGGTGGCAGCAGGTGCCGTGGTACAGCTCACCCCAGTTTACAGCAATCAGTTGCAGCTGCCTTTATGTTTCTAAGATGTTTATTTCAACTAGAGCAAGAAGCTGCAAACTGCTCTTGCTCTTTTCTGAAAGTTTCAGTAGAATGCACTCCTCCCCCTAGAGCAGGGGTGTTTGCAAGGGCAAGCTCCACCAGCTAGGACAGGCCTGCTTCTACTTCTCCAGGATCGGGTTTGCCTCCTGATTTAATTTTATTAGCGTAAGTAGATCTTAATTTCCTGGCTTATTATGAAGTCTGGAGTTTGTGAAAATCCTTATCACTCTCATGGAATCACAGAACAGTTCAGGTTAGGAGGAACCTTAAAGATCCACGGGCAGGGCCCCCTTCCCCCAGCCCAGGGGGCTCCCAGCCCCGTCCAACCTGGCCTGGAACCCTTCCAGGGAGGGGGCAGCCACAGCTGCTCTGGGCACCCTGGGCCAGCACCTCACCCCCCACAATCTGCCTTAGATCTCATCTAAATCTGCCCTCTTGACAGTTTAAACCTGTCACCCCTCGGCCCATCCCCACCCCCTGATCAGGAGTCCCTCCCCACCTTCCCTGTCCCCCCTTTAAGCCCTGGGAGGCCGCTCGAAGGTCCCCCCGGAGCCTTCTCTTCTCCAGGCTGAACCCCCCCAACTCTCTCAGCCCGGCCCCCCAGGGGAGCTGCTCCAGCCCCCCCAGCATCTCCGTGGCCTCCTCTGGCCCCGCTCGAGCAGCTCCGGGTGCTTCTGCTGTTGGGGGCCCCCGAGCTGGCCCCAGCACTGCAGGGGGGTCTCCCCAGAGCGGAGCAGAGGGGGAGAACCCCCTCCCTGGCCCTGCTGCCCCCCCTGCTCTGGCTGCAGCCCAGGGCACGGGGGGGTTCTGGGCTGCGAGTGCACGGGGCTGCCTCACAGGCAGTTTTCCCCCCACCAACCCCTCCAAGCCCCTCTCCACCCAGCTCGGTGTTTCTCCCCCAAGCCTGGACAGGGACTGAATCGCTGCCACAGAGCAAGAGAAAGCGCAGTGCCCCTCACAGCGCAAGCCCTTGGGACTGAGCGAGGAGCACCGTGCAGCTGCTGTGTTTGAAGATGGGTTTCTTCCCAGAAGAGAGATGATTCAATAGCTGTTGCCCACTGAGGTTCTAAATCTCTCCTGAATTCTCCCAGGAACCAAGAGGCCAGCAGAAAAGACAGTAGAGAATACAATGAGCTGTAATAAATCACCCATAATTGCAGCACTCCAGCCTGCTTTCCCCTGAGCTAGCGTTTTTAGGGTGAAGGATGAACTTAATGCAAGCTGATATTTCTCATCCCTTTCCATGCCTTCAGCTCACTACCTGCTCAAAGATCATGGGCTTAACTTAGAGACAGTTTTATGCTTACACAGCAGCAGGAAGCAAGCAAGATCAGCGCAGAGTTAGGAGTGAAACAGCAGCACCTTGGTCAAAAAGGGAAGTTTTATGAAGTAACTGAACACCCAGCCTTGAACTGCCCCCGGCCCAGGTGGCAGCAGGGTGCCAGTGGTCAGCCCTGCATGAGCCCGACCTCACCTGCTCCGGCTGGTGCCTTCGGAGAGCAGCAGCCAAGGAGCCCAGCGCAGCTGGGACACTTTCCGTAGCTGCTGGTTGGATCCCCACGTGCTGGCTACAGCCCCTGGCCCCAAGGCAACTGCTGGGAGCTTTTTTCTTCCCCTCCCCGTGAAAGCTTTATTGAGCTAGATACAAAAAAGGGTGCTTTGCTATTGGGGATCCTCTCCATGGTCTGAATGCTGCTGTTCCTCCTCTTCCTCCCCTTTGTGTTTTTCCAGTTTTGCCATGAGCTCTGAAAACCAAGAAAAGGCAGGCTGAGACACCGGGTGCAGGAGCTGTGCCGCACCACAGCCAGGTGCCCAGGTCCTGTACAACCCATCTCCACAAGAACCAGGGCCAGCTACCAAAAATCTCTTGCCAACAAAGGCTGAGCGAGGAGCTGCCACCGTCGGCCGAGCCCAGGGCAGCAGATGTTCCAGTTACAGAATCCATCAGCGCATGACCGACCTGCCGACTACAGCATCAGGCCAGCTGCTGCCTCCACTCCCGCAGCTCCTTGCGTCCCCCCCACGCCCGGCAAGCACAGGCGCTCGCTTTGCACCGACGGAGCCACCCAGGCCCTGACTTCGTGTCTCCTGGCACTGAAGGAAGCTCTGCTGGCAGCCAGGAGCCGCGAGCTCCAGCTTAGGGCCAGGCCCAACACCCAGACCACCCTTCCAGAGCTGGTGCCCGCGCTGCCAGCGCAAGCCCACCGGTGCCCGTTACCTTTTGCTGGGTTGAAGACTCCATTGGTTTGCTTGTCACAGACGTAGCAGCGCTGGGATTTGCGATAGTGTTGGAGGGCACAACTCTCACAGAAGTAGTGCCTACACCTGTACGGAGACACAAACGCCACTGCAAATCACCAGATACAATCACTGGGTCCAGGAGTTGGAAATTACTGACTATTGGTTGCCAGGGGATGTAAAAGTGAGCTGCATGCAGAGTTTCCCCTGCATCATCGCCCCCATGAAAGGTGCTTCAGCACCGCTTCACTGACAGCACAGAGCCCCCAGTGCGCTCCTCCAGACACCAGGCGCCCAGCAAGGCAGCCAGCAGTGGGGGAGAGGGCTGGCAGGGTGTGATGTCCACGCTGCCCCTCGTGCTGCCTCCTCATCCTTGCCAAGCTCTTGGCTTTCCCATCCCTCTGTTTCTCTCCTCACGCAGCACAGCACGCCGCTCAGCGTCCAGGAGGAATGAAGGCATGAGAACAGAATCTCAAGGTTAAAGGGGAAGATGTCATGAGGCAGCATCTGTGGAAACTGAAAAGGTGCTTGGACTACAAAGGCCTGAGATCCCTTCCAAGGAGATGCCCCAGTTATGAGACTCCCCAGTTATCAGAGGATTTTCCCGCCCAGCAGGAAGCCACAGCAAACAAGCAGCAGGTTCCAGCCTGTGGGCAGTGTTTTTATTTGCCTCGACAGTGAGTGACTGGTGAACTGGACCGACAGCAGACACTTGGCTCCTCATGCCAAAGCAACCACTTACTTGGTGACCACGGGGTTCTTGAAGGAACTTCTGCAGATGAAGCATTTGAAAGGCATATCCTCCTCATCACTGCTCACCTCATAGTTTTCCTCATCTGCAGGAGAGAAAGTTAAAACCAGACTGGAGCAAGAGCAGAGGCAGCCAGTCCTGCCCATGTGTGGGGTATGAAATATGAAATATGGAGAGCGCACAGCAGGTGGGATTAAATCTCTGCTGGAAACAATAGAGCTCTGGCACCTGGGTGTTGCTGATGTCAGTAACACATGTGGGACTGAGATATAATTAGGTCTAATGAGCCAGCATGCTCCTTGCTCATCTCACAAGAGCAAATTCTGCCTCGCCCACTCACTGCTATAAAGAGACACATCCTCCAGCCCCCTCCTATTTTTCAAATTTTCTTCCAAACCAGCTGCCACCAAACTCTTTGGCTCCAACTGAACAGAGAACACCACCTTCCCCCAGCTGCACAGGGGTTCATGAGCAACACTCATGAGCCCTGGGCCACAGCTACAGACACCGAGTGAGAAATAATGACGTGACACAGCATGAAAGTTCCCACCTCCTGGGCATGTGGGGGGCAGGAGATGGTCACCTCTCCCCAGCTCGCTGCTGGGACTCACACACCAGCAGTGCTATCCTTTTATAGAGAACTAGAGAAAATAATTCTCTCTGGTGGCAGTCAGTGGTTATTTGAAAGCAGCAGATTTGCTCAGCACTGTCACTGGTTACTGGCATTGCAGTTTATCCTGCAGCAGGGAGTTCCACAGCTTTGGAGTAGAGTCATTTCTGTCTACCATTAATTCAACCCATGGCCCATGCAGTTTGAGACAGCAAAGGACCCATGTCATTCTTAGTGATCCAACACCCCCAAGGCACATTTGCTTTAGGGCACGATAAAAGGCAGGACCTGGTACCCTCATCCTCCATCAGCTTTGGGAGAGGGAGAACAGAGGGCTGGTGCTGTACCATTGACTCCGTAGCGCCCTTCATCCAGCTCCCGTTCGATCTGCCAGCCGTGTTTGTAGTCCGAGCGGTCATGGAGGAATTTGCAGCTGTCTGAGGGGCACAAGGAAAGAGCAATGAAGTGCCAGGCCGTGCGGGTTAGCGTTAACAGGACTAACCCTGTTAACAGGACACCTCATTCAGGGGCAGCCCAGCAAAAGGTGAAACTTGATTGCCCCCGCCCGCCTGCGCTCCAGGGCAGGCAGAGGATCCCTCTGGGGGTTGACGGGCTGTGGGGACTGTGCTGCATGCTGCAGCGACAGTTCCAGCATTCACACACACGGCAAGTGGGGTAAGGGACAGGAAATCCCATCCTTCACATGGGCTCAGCGGCCAGAATACCTGTGGGTCACTGGGACACCCCAGGGGTCCCCCCCCCAGGACTCTCATAACCACTGATTAGAGGCCAGCAGCTTTCAGAAGGGCCAACACAAATGACAAGAACGTTACATAAAAGAACTTTGCAACACACCAGCTCTTCAAACAAGTGCCTACAAATCAGTAAGTGCACATCCCAGCGCCACAAACGTGGGATCACGAGCTGGACTGGATCCCTTTGCAGATCTGGCACAGCACGTGTTCAGCTCCAGGCAAGATCCACTCACCTCCAAAGCCACAGAACCCAGTTTCTTTGTAGTCCTTGCAGATGTCGGGCTGGTAGTCCCATCGCACCGTGGCCCGCAAGTGCTCCGGAGCACGGATGGGTCCTTTTCTGAAAGGGTGGGAGAAGGCTCAGGCCGGCTGCGCAGCTGCAGTGGAGAGGGCCCCTGGGGGCCTGGTCAGAACCAGACACCAGACGCGTTAGAGAGGCAGAAGCTGGCAGCAAAGCAAAGTTCAAGGCCCAGAGAGGTGCCTTTGGGGAAGGTGCCTGAGCTC